CCCCAGAGACACCGTGGGGGACAGAGACCCCAGAATCGCTGTGGGGCACGGGGACCCCAGAGACACCGTGGGGCACGGGGACCCCAGAATCGCTGTGGGGCACAGAGACCCCAGAGACACCGTGGGGCACGGGGACCCCAGAGACACCGTGGGGCACGGGGACCCCAGAATCGCTGTGGGGCACGGGGACCCCAGAGACACCGTGGGGCACGGGGACCCCAGAATCGCTGTGGGGCACAGAGACCCCAGAGACACCGTGGGGCACGGGGACCCCAGAGACACCGTGGGGCACGGGGACCCCAGAATCGCTGTGGGGCACGGGGACCCCAGAGACACCGTGGGGGACAGAGACCCCGGAGTCACCGTGGGGCACGGGGACCCCAGAGACACCGTGGGGCACGGGGACCCCAGAGACACCGTGGGGGACAGAGACCCCAGAGACACCGTGGGGCACGGGGACCCCAGAATCGCTGTGGGGCACGGAGACCCCAGAATCGCCGCGGGTCCCGGGGTCCCTGGAGCCGCTGTGGGTCCCGGAGCCCCCCGAGCCGCCCGTCCCCGCCCGTGGCCGGTGGTCGCCGTGGGGGCCCTGGGGGGGCTGCAGCGCCCCGTGCGGGGGGGGCGAGCGCTGGCGCCGCCGGGGCTGCGGGACCCCCCCGTGCCCGGGCCCGGCCCTGCAGAGCCAGAGCTGCCACAGCCACGTGTGTCGCGGTGAGTGCGACACGGGGACAGGGACACGGGGACAGGGATATGGGGACAGGGACACGGGGACAGGGACATGGGGCCGGGACATGGGGACCGGGACATGGGGACAGTGACATGGGGACAGGGACACGGGGACCGCGACATGGGGACGGTGACATGGGACCGGGACATGGGGACCCTCATCCAGCCACCGGGCCCAAAGACCCCTCCCCGGAGATGTGACCCAGAGACCCCAGTCCAGAGCCCAAGGACCCCGAGCCAGAGATGTCACTCAGAGCCCCCGAGCACAGCCCTGCCCCACAGCGCTGCCCCACAGACCCCCACAGACCCCCACAG